TTTTTTTTAAATCTTAAGAATTAGACAGTGGGGCAACAACAACGGCGCCAATTTTTTGTTCATAACGTGGTGCCACATTCATACAAGTAAATTATAGCTCTGCTTTACAAAGCACAGACTCTTAGTGTGCAGCGCTGTTTATTAATAAATATAGGTAAAAGCAGGTAAGGAGTTGATCAGCAGCACTTTCTGATCATCTAACAGCAAAAAACTTGCTTCAAAACTAAATAAAAATAACTTTACCTCTTTATACTAATTTCGAAATTTAGGAAAGCAGAAAGACTCCATGGAAGAGCCGAAAATGCCAACTTTTAATCCTTTCGTCTTCCTCCTACCAGCAATATGTGACATTGTCTCGACAGCGCTACTTTACATTGGATTAAATCTGACAACGGCCAGCAGTTATCAGATGTTACAGGGTGCGGCATCAGAAAGTTCCAAAAATTCATGCAAACAATGTAGTTAATCACTGATTTCCAACTTTTTAGGGGCACTTATTGTATGCACCGGATTACTGTCCATCCTCATGTTCAAAAGACGGATTGAAGGCTACAAATGGTTTGGAATGCTCCTCGTTGTTTTGGGACTAGTCCTTGTTGGAGTCACAGACGTAATATTTGGAGCTGAAACACAACATGGCGGCAGTGAAGCTATGATAGGTAACCTGTATCCCATTGCTGATCCAATCAACTTTCGTATGATTAGTTTTTCTGCCCATAACGGTTACAATTTTGTCTAGGAAATATACTCTGCGTCGTTGCGCAGATTGCAGTCGCAATGCAACTTGTACTCGAGGAAAAATATGTGTGCAAATACGACGTCGAAGCACTTTTTGCCGTAGGACTCGAAGGTGAAAATAAAAAGGTCCTTATTCCTTCAAAACGACAGGATCCAACGCTTTTAGGTATCTATGGCTTTGTCATTCTCTTTATTTCCCTTGTACCGCTTTACTACATTCATGTTGGTCCAACATTTTCCACGAACCCGAATGGAAGCCTCGAAGTCAGTTGCAATCGCAGCAGAGAGTGAAATATCAGACATAATATGGAATGCCACTACATAGCCGTAACAATTACTTTTTATTGTTAAGGATGTAATCTACGCCTGGAAACAAGTCCTCATTGCCCCAATGATTGCGGTATCTCTGCTCGCTATGATTATCAGGTACGTGACACATTTCTTCTTTGAAATGCCTCTGTCCAATCTAAGAAATTCGTATGTTCTTTAGTATTGCAATCTTCAACTTTGCTGGTATTAGTGTTACCAAGGAACTATCGGCAACTACTCGAACAGTGATTGATAGTATAAGGACAATTTTAGTGTGGGCAATCAGTGTACCCGCCTTCCATGCAGTATTCATACCTTATCAGGTAGTAGATTAATGCATAATTATGTTTATCTTCTCCATCATGCTCCTAAGATGATGGGATCATCCATACCATACGCAATATTTGAGGCAAAAATCATCGCTTATATATCAGATACGAATGCATTTATAAATGCAGCAGCCAAAAGCGAAAATGACATTAGAACGGGAGGCTAGAAACTAATTATCAGGTACAAAGCTGTTATTAGTTTACCTACAGTTGGGACATACTTGCGCCCATTTCATACGTAATTTGACGTAGAAGCACTCTATAGGTGCTTCAGCTAACTATACGGTGACGACGTTCGCGAGGTCCGGATCCATTACGCATTACCAGCTGAGAATTCAGCTAGTCCATCCGTGCAACGAACACTTCAGCCCATCTGGTCGGTGGCCTTCCTCGAGGGCATTTTACTTCGCGAAGAATCCATTTCAGAGTTTCTAATGTCCATCTGTCGTCTGTCCTTCTCGCCCATCGATGCTTTGCCTTAGAGACGTATTTTGCTGGATAGCGAAGACGAGACATCGATCTCATATCTGACGAAGTCCGGCGAGATGTTGAGTGCGTTGGTTGTACTTCAGAAGACGTCGTTCCAGCGCTCAGTGGGTTGTTCGAAGAGCCTTTGACGTAGCCATAGTGTCAGGCCACGTTTCTGCTGCGTAGCAGAGCGCAGGGAGAACAGATGAATCGAACAGGTGGGCTCGGAGCTCTGGGTCGGTCAGCTGGTCTGTGGCTCCTTTAAGGGCCCGAAGGCAGCCCAATCTGCTTTGCCTCGTGTTTAGTTCTTCTTTCAGATCGTTCTCCATGTTCATTGAACGCCCGAGATATACGTAAGAAGACGTCTC